GGTGAAACTGAGAAGTAAATAATAATTTTTATATATTTCTGGTACCAAGAAGTATAAATTGAAAGGACCAATTTAGCAATATATGCCTTGACTAAGCAATTTCAATTTTAGGTATATATTAACTTAGAGAAACTCTTGCACATATGCAAAAGCATATTGTCTTGATCCATTTTATGCTACTGTAGTAGAATACCTGAGACTGGGTAACTTCTAATAAATGGAAATTATTTGGCTAATGATTCTGGAAGCTGGGAAGTCCAAGATGGAGAGCCATCATCTGGGAATGGCAGAAGGTGGAAGACAGGGGAGCATACATGAGAGCAAGCCTCCAGCCCTTTTGTAATCTGCACCGAGGGCACTAATCCAATTATACAGGTGGAGCACTCATGATCTGGACACCTCCCATAAGGCTCTACCTCCCTATACTGTCACACTGAGGAGTAAGTTTCTAATGTATACTTTTGGAGGGACACATTCAAACCACAGCATGCACACACACACACATTTATGTGTATATACATACATATATACACACACATATAAATCTTCCTTGACAATATTTTTATGATAGTGAAAAATTATAAATAATCCACAGGACCATGAAGAAAAACTGAATAAATATAATAGTAGAAGAATCATATGATTCATATGATGTGATATTGTATAATAATTCAAGTGAATGTATGAGACTTATACATTTTAGTATGAATAAATCTCAAAAACACAAGTTATGAAGCAAATTATGAAGGATGCATTCAGCATGAAACTGTTAATGTTACTCTGAAAATACATAAAACATCTCTCTATATATCTTCTACTTATCATATGATCTTGGGCAAATTACTAAACTTCTCTATGCTTCAGTTGCCTCAGCACCAAAAGAGAAGTGACGATAATACCTACCTTGTAGAGGGAACAGGTCACAAGTAAATACTAGGGAATGCTTAGAATAGCGCTGGGCACATCAAAAGCACTACATATGTTAATTGTTAGTATTATTATTATCATTGATATATAGAAAAAGTGCACAGAAAGTGATAGAAACTTATCAACCTACCTCAAGATTGTGATTACCATTGTGTATAATTCTACAATAGCAATTTCATTTATATCTATGACATTCTATTTATTTAAAATTGGCTCTACCAGGGTGAATGTCAGCAGGACATACATGGAAATTATGGATACGGGTACTCCTAGCTGTCCTTTTTAATGCTTATGACACTATCCAGTGTTGTGAAAGAGAACCAACCTCAGGACTTACTCCATTTTCCTAAGAAATACCTTGAGAAAACTTCATTTTCTTCTTATTTTCTAGCAGTCAGAGGAGCAATTACATCACATTTGACTGATGTGCATAAGAAAACAAATCATTTTGAATGAGTCTTCCAACTTAGTGGAAAGTGTAAAATCTATCTAAATCAAATAAAATATAAGATTCCATATTAACAATAGAGACCGTGGTGACATAGTTCTCCCTATTATTAAAAGAATATTTTCTAAACTCCTTTTCTAGCCCTCATCTCCAGGTACAGATTTTGGACTCATGGTGGTCAGAATGTCATGTTCAGAGGGTATTATGAAATGCCATACTGACAGAGAAATGCTACTCCTAGCTGGCAGCATCTCTATAATACTCCTGTTATAATGAGAATTCTTTTAATTAAGAGTATTAAATCTCCTCTTAATTGGAATTGAAATATTTGAAGAATGCACTTTCATGATTTGATGGGTCAGATTTGGCTAAATACTGAGATTTGAACTCCTCAATTGCTGAGCCATTAACAGATGGCCAGTTCTCCTCAGGGCTGCACAAGTCCTGTCGCATCTGTAGAGTCAAGTCCTAGAATGAGGAGACCTAGGCGTGGTTGTCAAGTGAGTCAGGCTTGTGATTATTCCTAAGTCCTTTCTAAAAGGCCCATAACTGTCTCATTGTTGTCACAATCCTAGGGTAGGTCTTGAACCAAGACAGAGCAGCAGAGAAAGTCATGGCGCAACCTGGAGAACTTCCTACATAGTTTGCCTTCCCAAACCAGCTCCACTCCCGGAGGTGGCATGAGTCATTTCCACTGCTTCCCACCTGAGGGAGTGAAAGAGGCTGTCCTTGTGCAGCCCTAGAGTTGATTTTCTGCTGACCCACGTTTCACCCTACCTGTTCTTATCATTTCCCAAAGGACAGTGTAAAGTTGACCTTTCTTGAGTGCTTAAATGTGTGTTTTAGGTCACTTAAATCCTCACAATAAGCCTATGGTTGTAGGTATTGTTATTTCCACTTCAAAACGGGGAATTAAGTATTTTTAAATTTTTTTTTTATATAATTGTAAGATGGACAGCATGCCTTTATTTTATTTATTTATTTTTTTATGTGGTGCTGAGGATCAAACCCAGTGCCTCACAAATGCTAGGCAAGTGCTCTGACACTGAGCTACAGCCCCAGCCCAGGAATTAAGTCTTAAACAGAGAAAAAGTTTCTAAGTAACACAATATGTGGCAGAGTGAGTATCAGATTTGAAGTTGTGTTGATCTAATTGTGAAACTTGAATTTTTAATGGCTGTATTACAATTTGGACCTCTTAATCCTAGGAAGCTTTTCCTAATTATATGGAGGGATGAAAATTACAAAAAGAAGAAACAGAGTGGAAACACTCATAAGCGCGTAATCAGGCATACTCCTTTTAATGTGTGAAGAATCCATGAGAAAAAAAAAAGTTACTGTCAGAAATCTCGTCAGGGAGAGGTAAATAAGATTAGGGAAGAAATAAAGCTCAGGTCTGCCTTATTTCCCCAGCATTTCTAAGATGCTTTTTAATTATTATTTTCAAATCATCCCAAAAATGTGCCACCACTTGTTTTGCACTGTCTGTGATACCTGTCAGGATGGGACTTCCAAGCCATGATATCGAGAATCCCTAAAAAGCACTGAACTGCATTCAGTGGTATTGACCTGAATTTTGATGGGAGAAACCTTAGTAAATCCATTTCAGACCACAGATAAGCCCATTGTGTCCATTTTATGGTGTCATAGTCCTTAAACACATGAAAACAGAACAAAACATGCAAAAAAAGTAATGAAAATCAAAATACAAGGAAAGGATCTGAGTCTAGATTTTTATCTTAAATAAGTTCATTTGCTACTGAATTCCATAAGGCTAATTTGAAGCTCTAGGATTGGAAACACACTTGCTTTTGGTGTATAGCTCTTGGTATCATTCCTCGGTCAAAAACCAGCTTGTTGCCAGGCATGGTGGCGCATGCCTTTATCCCAGTGGCTGAGGCAGGAAGATCACAAGTTCAAGGACAGTTTCAGCAACTTAGGGAGGCCCTAAGCAACTTAGTGAGATCCTGTCTCAAAATAAAAAAACAAGCACACAAAAAAGGGCTGGGGATGTAGCTCAGCGGTAAAGCAACCCTGGGTTTAATCAACCAAACAACAATAACAAACACATTAAAGAGGAGCTGGCAATTTCTAGGAATTGGTCCACCTGATTTTTGATGCTTGGTCTTCAGGAATATTAAAAGCTCAGGAAAGAAAGGGGAATGTGAAGACAGGATTTGGGGAACTGTCTTGGTACCCAGTATTTCAAACCTGTGTGGGGGACAATTATCTCCTTGGCCTGATGGAGAATAAGAAGAAGGAGTTGCACAAGGGAAGTGATGCCAGATGTCAGACAGTAAAGTATCTGGTAAAGTGCCCAACTGGCATTGCTTTCTGTCCCTCATTTCAAACACAAAAACACATCTGCCTAGTTTGGGCAAGGTGTTAACTTGTCTGGCAACAGAGCTGAACTGGTCTTTGCAACTCTGAGATTCATTCCATGATTTCTGCCAGGGGAAACCATAGTGTGAGCATCCAGGTCATTTTCTAGGTATTAGAATAATAAGGCGCTTTCTTGCAAATATGAACAATCAATGAAGTGAAGGTTGAGGATTGGTGTGGAACTAAAATATGAAGAGTTCCCCAGGAAAATTGCCTTGGCTCCCTAAGATTAAAAAAAAATGTTTGAAGAGTTTACATTTTGGAATGCTTAAGAGGTGCATCAGGTTCGGGGTAATCAGTTTGAGTGGAATTCAACGCAGGTCAGGCTTCTCTAAATGAAGTAGAAAATGGTGGAAGCAGTAACGAGAGTGGGAAATTGGTTCAGAGTTAGTCCCCTTCTTCCTAGGGTGAGGATATCTCTGTTTCTCTCCTGGAGTACACCTTGGCAAATCTGAGAAACACAATGATGGTGAGCCATTGGGGCAAAGAGAACACACGTAAACTTGCTCTAACTTCCCAGCCATGACGTGATGTCCCTTGAACGGCAGCTTCTTCTTACTCGGCCCCTTTACACAGCTCCACCAGAACCCGTTTCTACACTCGGACTCTGTTTCTCTCTCACTAGTCTCTCCAGGTTTCCCCACTGCAGCATGTATTTAAACTATTCCTTTCAGGTCCACTCCCCTTTGGGTGTTTGAAACACGACCTTTCATGGAATGGTAAGGAACATTTCCTTGCCAAGGAAATACCCATTAACAAATATTCATTCAGGTTTTTAAAAATTTCAACGAAATTTTCAAACATGAAATCATATCTCAGTAAATTAGTTTTTCTCAAGATAAGTAGCATGATTTTTCCTTTCTTCTTCTCTTTTATCTGGGCTAAGGATGTAAATCATTAGCAAATTATATAAAGCTAGCAGAGTTTGCAATTATTTTATGGCATCAGTAGTTGCAGGTTTCCCTTGCCAAGTCACCAGAGAGCTTGTGACAGCAACATAGCTAGCTAGCTGTTGGGCTGGGGCTGTAGTTCATTGGTAGAGTACTTGCCTCCCATGTGTGAGGCACTGGGTTCGATCCTCAGCACCACATAAAAATAAATAAAGATATTGTGTCCAACTACAACTAAAAAAAAAGTATTTAAAAAAACATAGCTAGCTGTTGACTTTCAGTGTATATAATTCTTCAGGCAGATTGGGAAATTCGTCATGGTGAAAATAATTATATAATTTCCTTCAGGTGGGTGTGAATCCAGATGGTCCCTGGAATAGAGCTGGTAAGAACCTACTCCAAGCATCTTCCATTATCATTCCCACTTGGATAAACAGGAAGGAGCCTCTTGACTTTGGTCACATGGTAAATTTTACCTTATTTGTATTTTACAGTAAACAGTTGATGTGATCATGAGGATATACAGATTAATGAGGGTTAATACACAGATATGCAGATAATCAATATGAATTAAATTCATGGGACTCTGGAAAGTTCTGATGTCTTGCTCCTGGAAGGAAAAGTATTCTCCAAAATAAGTTCCAATTTATTTATTTATTTATTTATTTTTTGCTCTTTAAAGGTTTTACTTCTCAAAACTTTTCTTTTTAATTTAGAAGACTGAAGAAAATAAAATAGCAAACACTTTTTTAACCAGGCCTTTCAATCATCAGGACTGAAGACTTCTGGTATATGGAAGCAAGGTCCAGTGAAATGTGGATCCCTGTAACCGTTAACACAGAGAAGCATGTTGTGTCAGTGTCCACGACTCTGGTGTCTGGCACTTACTAAATGCTTGTCAAAAGCAGGTTGAATGAGGACAACAATGCCAGTGGAGAAGGGACGAACATTTTTTTTTTTTGGTGTGACACATGGTCTCTCAGAGGTAGGAGCCTGCTGCTCTAATTGCTGCATTTGACCTTTCACCTTTCCATGTTGATAGTGGGTTTAGTTAAAGACCAAGTGTTAAATTTGTTTGGATTTGAATTTATTGTTGAATTTTCTTCTGTGGGGAAAGGAAGTTGCTGGATGGAAAAGTACCATTACAGACGCTTTATCAGCTACCATAGGAAAGCGTGTTTTCAGATACTTCAACTCAGGTACTTGTAACATGAAAAAACAGGGTCAAAACTTGGCTTATCAGTGGCCATCTGAGAGCACTGAAGTGACTCCTGAGCATCGTGTAGGCTCCAGAATAAACCCTGGGTTCAAGTCCTGACTCCAGATATGCTGGCTCTGTGACCACTGACAAATTTTGTAATCTCTTTAAAACTTAATTTTCTCATCTTTAAAACTGAACAATGCCAGTACTTGCCTCTTATGGTTGATTTGAGTTTTACTATACATGTGAGCACTCAGAATGGGCCTGGACAGAGTCCATGCTCAAACACTACCAGCAACACACACTCTTTCCTCAGTTTCCTAAGAAATTGAAACAATAGCCAGAGAGTTCCCTGAATTCTTCAGATAATTATGGCTATGCAGACACAGATGCCCAATATAGAAAAAGGGAAGTCATACAAAGGAGTAAGAAACTGGAGGGAATGATAGTTTCAGAATTCTCTTTTAGATTCTTCATAACAGGAGATGAAGAAATTTGAAAACAATCCAACTCTTCCAGGGCAAGGTAAAGTGCTTGCTTTGGGCTAGCTCTTCTTTTGGACCAGCGCTCCATCTTTTTGATGAAAGAATTTCCATAGTCAAAGCATTCCCTGGAAACCTGGGAAGGCTGAAATAGCACTAACTGCAAAACCTCCTGAGTAGAGGAAAGGAAAACTTTGCTCTGATGAAGCCACCTCCTGCAAAGCTGCACAAATGCCACCTTTACAATGCCTCTCTGACCACCATTCTTTGAATTGCGATTGTTACCTACTGCTTTCTTCTGCTCCTTGCACTCTATCCCTCCTTCTTTGCTGCATTTCTTTTCTCCATGGTACTTAGTATCTCCTAAGACATTCTATAATTTGCTTATCTGTGTGTTTACTGTTTAAGGCAGTCTCTCTTTGCTTGAATTCAAGTTATATGAGAACAGAGAACAGTGCCTAGCACATAGTTGGTGTTCCCTAAATATTTGTTGAAGTGATGAAGGACTAAATGAATGAGTTAGTGATTCACTGAATGAGTGAAACTGGGTGAGGGTATGGAATGGTTCAGCAGGCCTTCACCTATTCTAATTACTTGGATTGCTCATGCTTCTAAGATCCAATCAGACATAACAGCTAGGAAACAGAGAAGTTATCTTCAGTAGTGCTTTTAGTTTCATTTGAAAGCTATGGGATGGACTTAGGCAGCCAAGGAATTCTTGTATACCAGCCTTCTCCCTCCTGAGTTCCTGCACCAAGTGATAGAGACAGGAGGTGGCTGGTCCTGGTTGCTGCCAGCACTCCAGCACTGGGAGGTTGCTGAGGATCTGTGGGAAGCAAGCTTGAGGGCAAATTCCTCTCCAGCACATCTCTGTCTCTGCCTCTGGGTGGGGATTGGTTATAAATGGTGCAAAGCTTCATACCTCATTGAACAGAGATGTGTGAGAGTGTACTCTGCACTGTCAGATAGCTTCTCAGTGTCCTGTCTTAGCAAGCTTTATTCTCTGACTCTTCTGATCAATCTGTCAGTGGGTGGGAAGTGGTAATGAGAAATCCTACGATAGTTTAGTTTTTGTTTCCAAAAGATGAGACCTACCCACCTCTGACCAGTGGAAAATGCTTAGCCAGGAAACAGTCCTGTATAAGGTACGTGGCTTTAAAATAACCAACTGCTGACAGCCATCACCAGAGATATGAAAAATTGTGCTCTAAATGTATAATATGAACTGTTACGCATTCAGCTCTCATTTGTTTTTAAAAAATCAATTAAAAATTAAACCACTTACAATAACCAGAATGGAGTTATAGATGGAAACAATCTTCTATATATCATTGACTCAAGAGCCATATACAAACTAGTCCCTAATTGTCTCTGCTGCCCTTTTTCTGCAGTGCCTAGACCACAGCCAACACATACAGCAATTTGTCATTGCCTTCTCCTGTTTTAGCACATACTTGGAATGCCTTCTTTTCCTTTGAGCCTATTTAATAACCCTTGGATCTTTTCTGACTCAGCTAAATTTCTTCCTCACCTGCATGGTTTTGTTTTGGGTAACTGGTTTCCCTCATCTCACCCTCTCCTGGACTGCACTTAATCCACATCCCATAATCATTAGCTCAGTAGTCTTGCCCTGCTCCACATTTGTAGATTGGATTGTGGCTGCCCAGCATTGTGACATTGTCAAGTCCCTGTGTCTTTCTCAATTGTTTTCTTCTTTGTTTCTCCTATTTAACATCAGTTTCCTCCATCCCAGTCTGATACTAGAATAATCATGTTAAAAGAATAAAAGTGACCATATTATTTTTTAAAAGCTTTTGTTTCCCCATTGTCACCTATGAGATAGAATCCAAATGCTTTTAGCTTCATAGTCAAGACCCTTTCCCCAGCTCCACCTATTCATCCTTTAAAAATCCTACTCAATTTTTCTACACCATCAGGCTCATAGTTCCCTAATAAAAGCCAACATCTAAAACTTCATTTATTTATCAGTCATTTATTGAGCATCTGTTACATTTTAAGGATCAATGTTGGGTATTAAAGACATAAAGATGAAAAACCTCAAAGAACTCAAGGAACTCTCAATCTCATGGGAAAAATGTGACGAAGAATGAATAATCACAGTGCTGGGGGATAAACACAAGGTTGAGCATGTACAGAGTACCACGGGAACAGGAAGGAAGGTAGCACATTATTTAATTTCAAAAGAAGGAAGTTAGGAAAGTTTTTGTGAATGAAATGATAGTAATTAACATGTTTGTTTCCCAATTTAACTCTGAACTCATCAAGGACAGAAACTGTATCTTAATTATTTTTCTATCTCTTGTAGCTAACAAGAGGAGACTGAACTAAAGGGACTTTAAATAACTTCCAAACCATATTCTTATTTTAGGAAATATCATCAGAATTAGGTAAGATGAAGTGTCATGATGAACCTACTTTCAAATGGGCTCTGGAGAGAAAGATAATAGATAAGCCGATTTTCTGAAATATGAATAATTTCTATAACCTGATTGTGTACCTAATAATACATCCTGAATTAGTCTTTCATCTTTTTGGTATACTTGAAAAAATTTTCCTAATTAAGAGATGAAGTTATAGAAAAAGAATTAATGAAGAAAATTTCTTAATGCAACAAACAGGTAGCCATCCATAGCTCTACATCAAACTGTTGAGTTTCAGGGCCCAGTGACTCAACACAGGCAAAGTTGGAGTACCAGGAAATCCTCCTAGCATAAATAGGATGATAGTTTCACAGTGAGACTAACATGAGCAAGTTCTGTAGAATTTCACAGAACTAAACGGTGAGTCCCAAATTACAAAGATGCACACATCTCTGGTTTTGATGTGTGAGAAAGATTAGTAGGTCTTGCAGGCTACAATGGCCTAGGAACGTGTGCATGAGAAGATGTGCTAAGCTTCCTATCACAAACTATACGTTGAACATGTGTGTTAAGAGTTTCTTTTTTATTAATTAAACTTTTTAATATAACTTTGGGAAGCAATGCTCATTCTAAAATTTAGACATTCTTTGGAGAGAATAGGCCAGATATATAGGTCAGCATAATTCTCTGAAAATGATTACCTTGAAAAAGAAATATGTTTGAATGCAACTTAGTCCATGCCTCCAGAACCAAAAATAAATTAAGCTCACTTGATAGGAGTTTTGGACCTCAAAATTCCTTTTGTATATACATTAATTTAAAAATTTTTATTATTATTTGATTTTTCTTGGGAAGGATGAATATTTATGCTATCAAAGACATTTGCAATTCCTTATCCTGGAAATTAAAAGTTGTGAATACGGACTTTGTGCCACTCCCTGTTGGATGCTAGAATACGTCCCACTCTGGAACATTCCTCCATCTTATTCTGGGACTAGCTTTGCTGAAATGGGGATTGGAGCCAATAATCCCACTGTTTAGGGGACAAGTCCTTTCTAGACGTGTCAGCTCACTCAAGGCTCCATCAAGCCAGGGAATATGCACTCCATTTGGAAAGAAGAATCAGGGGAAGTTTGTTTTACACCAGAAATACCCAAAAATTATTTACTATGTTATTTAATATGTTTTGTCTTCAAATTCATGTATTCATGTTAATCTTTAGTTCTGAAATAAATATTTCCCCTTTTACTTTTCTTTAGTTCTAGATTTTTTAAAAAGAGAACAATAAACTTCACCATGATACTTGATCACCATTGTTTCTCATCTCTTATAGCAGTTCTTGTATACGTTTCTCTTATTTAGAAATTTCCCTGATAGTATATTCATATGCAGTATGTGTATGAGGCAGACCTAAGGTATGCATACCTAAAAATCTTTTTAAGTCTTCTTTTTAAGTGAAAATGTAAGTGGATATATTCAGAATTATCTTCCTTCAATAATTTAAAAATATAATTCATTTTCTTTTTGCAACCTCTATTGTTGTTGACAAAGCTAACCACTCTCTGGGTGGTTCTCTTCCCTTGGAGCATGGTACATCTGTAGGCCCCCATCCTCCCAACCAGATTGGGCTGACAGTGTAGCTGATGTCATTAGGTACTTAAGCCAAAGCTTTGCTCTCACACGAGAGCCTCCATACAGTTCAAGGGCCTATCTGACTTTAGCTAGGGAAATGTCTTAGGATCTTGGTATGTGAAAGTTCTAAGCTTGTTAGAACAAGCTCAGGTGAAAGAAGCTGCTGGGCAGGGATGCTAACATGGTGCCAGAAAGTAGCATAAGGTTTGCAACCGATCCACTGTGGCAAGACTAGTGTGCACATGCTCACAGAGCCAGGCATAGCCAAGACAAGCATTTGCCTTCCTGTTCAGTTTTCTCCCAAAAACCAATCTAAATATTCAGGCTGGGGTGATACACAAGAGACACAAGTATTTTTCAGAATGTCTTATATCCTTTCCTGTAAGACTATTTGGACCTTAAAGAAGGGAGGTGGATGGTGTGGTGAAAGTCAATGACTACTGTCAAAAACTTAAATAGTAGGAAGTCCTATTGGTATAGCCAAACTGCTACCCACCTCAGCCATTCATCATTCATTAGAGTCATTCTTCGGCCCTTGTTACATCAAGTCCTGTGCTAACTGCATACCAGGGATAGAAAGGAGAGCTCGCTCATGAAGAGCTGAGCCAGTGGTGGGGAAAAGATGATATCAGACCCTCATACCCAGGACGAGTGCTCTGAGGAGAGTGTTCTGAGGCTTCATGTGGCCTGTACTCTGCAAACCTAGAAAAGGGGTTTGGTCCGTTTGGGGTTGGAGGAGGAGTTCCAGGAAGGATGCCTTGTTGGCGTAATGACTGAACCGAGATTTAAGGAGGAGCAGGAATCAAATAGAGAAAACAAAGAAGGAAAAGTGTTGTGGGTGAAGAAGTAGGATGGACCCGAATGCATGGGGCCTGCTAGGCTTAGCAGGGGATTTTGCTCTTCAGCCTGTGGGCATGGGAAACTCTTGAGGGTTTGTAAGCCTGAGTGTAGACGTGGTGTGACTGCTGTAGCATGTGGGAAGTTTCCCCTGGGCTACGGCATGGAGGGGTACTGCCATGGGCAGGCCTGCCAGTGGCAGCAGTATGTGATTTTTCCAGGAACTAGAAACATGTTAGCCATGTGTTTGAGTGGAAGCTAAGCTTCCTAACACAAGCCAGTGCAGCCTGCTTTGAAATTGGCTGTCTGCCTATGCATACCAGCAGCACAAAGAACATTTCCTTTCCTTCCTGAAGTTTCTAAACTTTAAAAGTTTATGACTGTGCTGACTTCTGGAATTGATCATTCAATCTAATTGCAGATACACTTCTGAGACTTCATGTGGCTGATCACCTAAAGGCTCTGTTACTGATGCTCATGCTGGGCTCCTCACCCCTGAGCTGCACTGGAAGCTCCTGGGAGACTTGTTGGAACACAGGCTGCCAGGCTCCACTCTCAGAGTTTCTCATTCAGTTGGTCTAGTGGGCCACACAGCACTTTGCCTCACATAGGTAATGGTGATGATGTTGTTTGGGAACCAGGCTTTGAGAACTACTGCTCTGATAGTGGCTGCTCATTAAGACCAGAATAGGGGTCTCCAAACTGAAGAGATCAGTTTATTCCAGGTGGCCCTAATGTGGACAAGTTTCTTAGTCTGTGTCCAGGGACTAAGAAACACCAATCCAGTGTCTTTGGCATTTATATCAGGCCTGGAGTTACACTATCTCTTTTTCCTTTTATTTCCAGCTGACTCCTTAAGCCCTAGCCATATGTAAATTTGAACTTTTCAACAGAAATAATTCTGATTTCCACATTGTTTATTAAAACATCTGAGTTCACCTTTAAAGGCTACTGGCCAACATGCACTCACCTCTCAATAGTGCAGATAGTGAAAACCTGTGGTCTGTGCTGTGTGTGCTCCTCCTCTCAAGCTCAGAAAGTACCAACTTTGTTCGCATGCTGTGGAAAGGTAGCTGCTAAAAGGTGGTACTCTTGTCCCTACCATCCTTCCTCTTCCTCCTCCTCCTCTTTTCTGTGCTGGGGCTCAATCCCTGGGCCTCTTACATGCTAGGCAAGTGCTCTTCTACTGAACTACATCTTTAGCCCATTCCTCCATCTTCTCATATCAAATGAATGTCTTGAAATTCATGTTCTCAAAATATCACCAACTAGAATGTGTTTTTTTTTTCAAGTTAAGACTCATCCTAGGAGGTGAATAACCAGAGTGCTAATGAAACCTCTATTACATAATTTTCTATAGCATAGAATGCAATCATCAGGGAAGGGTTTCCCCAACTCTCCACTCCGCTCCCTGCTCCAACTTCTTCTTGCAAAGTAAACAGCTTTTCCCTTGTCATGCCAGCAGCTCCCACAACCAGTTTCAATCTGTCATCTTTCAGTTTGCACTTGCTTCAGGGAAGAGGCTTCCCTTCCTACATGGCCTTGACCTGCCCAGGACCGAAGGCAGGAGGAAGATTATCTGTGACCCAGCAAACTCCTTCTCCTAGTTCATGAGCCCTGGTGATACTTTTGTAGCTACATCATGCTCTTAAACCATGGAAGAAAGATTTATGTGGCTCAAGGTATGTTCTTTGGTAAGGAAAAGTGCAGCTCTGAAAATTGGCTGTCCTCAGGGGAGAGGTGCTTTGTTTATGCTATGTCATTAGCTGGTTACAAGTCAACATAAAGGGAAAGGATCCTCACTGGGATGAGCTGAAATGCAGCCTCAGCACAAGTTGAGTGGTTTGTTACTTGGAGCTGTTCTCATCTATGTTGTCTTTATGCCATCTTGCCTAAAAATGCATAAAAGATGATATCAAGAATAAATGATTTATATTTCTTTCATTGTGGAAAAACCCTAGGTTGGAATAATCTAGGGTTTGCAATGGCACACCCTGTACCTTCTACTGAAAACATGATTTTTCAGATCATTTTTTAAAACACCAAGGAGAAGCTGGTCACAGTCACCCAGCTCTACATGGAACTTTAAAAGTTTATGACTGTGCTGACTGAAGACCATGTGTTTCATGGTCTTCAATCCTTTTTCTTCCTTAAATTTACCCAAAAACTTTTTTAAAAATTGATTTTGTAAAAAATAAATGACAGCAGAATGCATTACAATTCATATCACACATATACAGCACAATTTTTCATATCTCTGGTTGTATATAAAATATGTTGACACCAATTCGTGTCTTCATACATGTACTTTAGATAATGATGTCCATCACATTCCACCATCCTTGCTAACCTCTTGCCCCCTCCCTTTCCCTCCCACCCCTTTGCCCTATAGAGTTTGTCTATTCTTCCCATGCTCCACCCCTACCCCCCACCCCACTATGAATCAGCCTCCTCATGTCAGAGAAAACATTCAACATTTGTTTGTTTTTTCGGGATTGGCTGACTTCACTTAGCATTATCTTCTCCAACACCATCCATTTACCTGCAAATGT